GGGCTTGCACCGATTGGAATGGAAGCTGTAGACGATTAAAAAGTCGCTCGGAAATAAATGTGGCCTCTGATCCGGAATCGATCAGGGCTCGCGCTGTATAATTTGTACCCAAATGACCAATGTCAACTAAGGCGGTGCCCAGCAGGACATTTTGGGAACTGGCAACAAAATAAGTATGAACCCTTGCTTCGCTATCGGATGTGGACTGTATTTGTGGCGTGGAGGACTGAGCAGCCGGAGGAACACTGGATGCCACAACAGACGAAGGGGAGGCACGATGAAGTAGAGTGTGATGCCGTCCCTTACACGTAAAACAGGTGTGCGCACTACTACACTCTCGTAGTTGATGTCCTCTCGCAAAACAATTTAGACACAGTTTGTTCTGCTTGATGCAGGCAATCCGGTCTGTGATGGACATTGCCAGAAAACGAGGGCACATTCGGATGGCATGGTTCTCCTTGGAACATATGTTGCATGCCTGTGGCTTGGCCTTGGTGGATGGAGGTGGTTTCACGCTAATCTTTGCCTCGAATGAATTGAGTTTCTTAGGCGGCCCGTCCCTTCTCTGAGGCTTGGAATGGCTTTGGTCCTGAAAACTAGACGCCGACCTCTCGTCGTCCATTGCCTCAAGGGTACGGTAGCGTTCAACCAAAAACGTGTTGAGATCCGCCCATTTTGGAATTTCCGTTTTACTTTTTAAGGATTGCTCCCACAGGCCTCGGGTGACCTTGGGAAGCTTGCGCTCGCAGAAAAAACACAAAATAGGGTCCCAGTTTTCGGTTTTTACCTTGGAATGTTCCAGAGCAGTAAGACACCCTTGAATGGTGCTTTGAAGGGCTTTGACAGCTGCTCCAGACTCTTGGCCGATTGTGGAAAGGCCGAACAAAAGGTTGAGCTGGCTATTAACCAACAATCTTTTATTCTCAAAATGCTCTTTTAAATTCTCCCAAGCGGACTCAAAGCCGTCATGTGTGAGCGGGGACTTAGCAACAATGGATTTTGCTTCTCCAGCAGTTTTGGCATTGAGATGGAAGAGTTTCTCAATGGGAGTGAGCCTCGGATTACTAATAAAAACCGCAGTGAACAAATCACGGAAAGTAGGCCACCGTAAAGGATCGCCACTGAAAACTTCAATGTCGACCGGAGGGAGTGAGCAGCCTCTGTTGCTGGTCGCAAGATGAGGTGACAGCAAGGGCTGGCTAGGTGGCTTACTGGCGGCAGAAAGGCTGTCAATGCTCTCGCTGAGCTTGGCGGTACACCTTTCATATATCAGATAGCAGTGCTCGTACTTCTTCAGGACTACTGCAAGATCATGCCTGCTCTCTTCAGTGGCCAACGCACTTAGTGATCTTGTGCATTGATCACACTCCTGTTCTACTTGTGCCCATAACGACTTGACTTGGTCTCGGCGAGTATTGAGGATATACAGGGATGACTCGCATATTGAGGCGGCGGACATCGTAGCCTCGAAAGCGCTTAATCTGTCGCTCACGAGGAGGAAGGTGTTGAGCGACATTTGGCTGGTCGATCTAGACTCCTGAGACACGGACCTTGTCCTTTTTTTCTCAGTAGGAGCAGTCTTGGCTTCGGAAACAGAAGCCTTGGAATTCGCGCTTGATGCGAGCGGCTGAGTGGGACTGGCCCTTGATGTTGAGGCGGATGGAACGCTTAAAGTAGCTAGCGCTGGCGTGGAAGGTGTATCGGCTATGTTCTTTTGCTCTGAAGCCTTAGCCTGATCCCCTGCTGGCATAGTAAACGTTGAAAAACGGACTTGGACTGACTATGTTGGGCGGCGCTACGAACGGAAAGCCTCGGATTGCTTTCGTAAATTTTTTTTAAAAAATAAAAAAAAAATATTTATACGGCTCCAATATTTCGGATTGCGAAAGGACAAAAAAAATATGTAAATATTTTGCGCGGGCAAAAAAAACGAGGAAAATATATTTCAATCAACGCCGCGGTTGGTATTGGACCCAAAATAAACGCTTGTACAAATTATGGATAATTTGCACACGACCAATTAATTTGGAGGAAAAATTAAATTTAATAAAATATAAATTTTGCCCAAGTGCCGAAGAAATCCAACGATGATGTCCAAATATATGTATATGTGGGCCACAGAACGCAATTAGATGAGGAATTCACAAAAACGAAAAAATATTTTTTTCAAAAAAATTGCAAGGGCAGGAGCATACATAAAAATCGCAACACCCGGTCCGTATAGGGTATGCGCATGCATAAACGCTGCGGAGAGGAACAGCTGGCGGTCAGTCTACACGCTTATTGTTTCAGCTGCGCTCAAACTGACGCTGCCAATGCACTGCTGCAGCGAGACGTTTTTGTGTGGGTATGTGTGTGGGTGTGAGCGCCAGAGAGCGCTAATAACGGCCGAAGAGCGAAGGCGTGGTGAAAATATTGATGAGCCGAGGAGCCGGCTTATCTTAAGCGCTGGAAAGTTTAGCAAACAAGACAAACGACAAAAGCCCAAAAAATATGTATGTACATATATGTATGTATGTATGTTGCTGATGTGAATAATAATGTTGCTAAAGATTTGGGAAAAAACTTATATGCAATATAATAATGCGGAGGTAAATAAATAAGTTGGTTTATTTGGCGGAAATTGTACAAGTGCAGTGCGCGGGTTGGATAAATGAAAGAGAGAAATATAAATAATAATGGGCGCTCCGTGTGTAGTGTCTTAACTTAAGCGTGTATAGGCCAATTATGTGTGGAATTGAATATTAATAAATGCCTATGTGAATTGTGCACTTATTAACACTCATATGTTGGCACAGTTGGGTTTGAGGCACAACACAATATGTTCGCTTATACACGTTTGACACTTAAGACCTTTGGACCTTACAACACGGCCGAGTTTGAATTGGAAATTCGAAGTTCGCAGGAGTCTCTCTCTCAAAGGCGGGAAAAACAGTATGGCGACTTATATATCTATATGTACATATGTATACTTGATGTAAGATATGTACATAAGCTACATATAAGCCGCTACAATTTTTCCTTTCTTTTGATTGCACTGGCACTTGCACTTGTAAATTGCTTTTTTTTCGGAACGCACTTGGACAGTGCGGTTTAGCAATAGTAAATGAATAATTTACAGATGGTACTTAACACTTGAATCCACCGATGCTAGCTGGGAGGACTTCAAAGCAGCACAAGACGAGGATGAAGGTTGGAGGTGCAGCAGACAATATCCGGCTCGAAGGACCAATGAAAATGTAGTGGGGTGGACGCTGTGTAGTACCAAATGCAGAGGACGAGTTGATGTGGTGATGGTGTCGTTTATTGTTTCAATTAAAACTTCACAGATTAACTTAAATCGATTTGGGGGCGCGCATGCGCTGACTTCACACTTGCGATACAATGCGAATACTAAAAACTAAGCCTAATCTAAACTTATTCTAAGCCTCTGCTAGGCGGTCGCCGGTGTGGTGAATTCAAAGTCGGCAGCCGACGACCGACGGACAGTACGCACTCCTCTTACGCGAACAGCATGCTTGGAGCTGTCTGGCGGCCCCCTCGCATTCCACAGAGCAGAGCATAGAGGTATTGAGAGTACCCAAAACTGTATCGAAATTATATGTACCTGACACACCAGATTTTTTTGAGCCCAAAATCATCAGCCCTAACCCGGGTCTCATATATCGCGACCGACACTTTGCTATTGGCGGCTTCGCGAAGGTAAGCGGGTTCCTTTGCCATATCAGTGTAAGATCACCCCAAAATGTCTTCGTACTAGGTCAACTGGTTCCAGGCTAACCACATATGCAACAACCTGAATATGAGTTTGGCTACAATCGGCACACAGGACCAGCATTTCCAGCTCATTACTCTTTTAGAAGGTAGAGTCGAGTAAGATGTGGTATTCTTAGGCAGCTTTGTAGCAAATGTTTTCCCTCAGATCGCCAGCTACATAACAGACGGTTCTGGCTGGGCGGCACTAACTTGGGCGACGGCGATGAATGGACTTGGTTGAGCAACGGGCAGCTGTTCACTTTTGATGTATGGGACACTGATCAGGACACTGAGACCGAAGAGCCGTCCTGTTTGGTATTAGATGGCATCCAAAGATGGCAGAGGACCTCCTGTTATGAGAAAAACTTCTTTGTATGCGAGAATATATGTCCCTTCGATAGCTATTCTGTGCCGATCTATATAAATGAGGTGTGACCGAAGCAGATAATATTTAGAAATAAATAAAAACTATGCAGACTATGAATATGAATGAGATAAGTTCGAATTAAAAATAGGAAAATGAGCGACGGGCCAGTATTAAAGCTGTAAGACAAATAACAAATGATAATAATATACCAAAACATGATTTTTCCTGATCGTTAAATATGAATATATACAAGTAGTATACCTGATTTAGAATGTTTAAATATAACACTCCGAAAAGGCGTGGCGGATCTCACAGACTGTATACAAACATATATTTTTGATCAGTATGAGAAGATGATTCGATATTGCCAGTACTACTCAATGCAAAAATTTCGTTTACTTAGCAATTACAGATTGTACATTTTTAAGGCCTAAAATTCGGGCATCCTTATTTTACTCTTTCTAAACGGTATTAGAGGATAACTCAAACTTAGTAAAACATTTGGCATTTTTTCATAAAAAGTAACTCTGTACGAGAACTACACCCTACAAATGTTTCGTTCATACAGTAATTACAGATATTAAATTGCAATTTTTTTTTCATTTTCCCCGTTTAATTTTTAAGATTCGTGTGAAGCTATAATATTTCGTGTATGTGTCATGCTAGGAATAAAATTCGGACATGCTATTTAACTCTTTCTAAAGGGTATTAAAAGGTAACTCAAACTTAGTAAAAAAAAACTTTCACAACAACAATTTTCCTAATTTTTCATAAAAAGTTATTAATGTACATATGTACATATGTTCATATGGATAACATTTAAGCTTTAAGTTACTTTTTATTTGAATTAATGAACTTTTTGAATAAGTGGGAAAAAGCTTTGCAAAAGCTTTTTGTGCTATAGACAATCGCTCGTTTCTATGTAACTGCTAACGGAAATGTGAAACACATTCTAGAAGTTCATATCACACAGTAGAGTCAATTTTCTAGCGCAATTTTCTTGTTTTGAATTATTTTGCAGACCAGCACCAATGAAGATATTGTAAAATTATAAATTTAGCATAATAATAATTTCTCTGCTAGCGTAGCGGTATAAGTTAGTAAAAGGCATTGTCTTCAGGGAATATAGCACAACGTCTCTCACAAATGAAGTAATGTTGCTCCTGACAGTCCACATTTTGCCACAGACTTGTCACACCATTGTAGCCCAGGCAGCGTTCGGCGCCCGTGGAACTTTTAGGTGCACCACTTTGGAAATTGCGATAGGAGAAGGAACGACCATTGCTGAACCAAGTCCAGGTATTCTCTTCAGCTAAGTCTGTGCCCGAAGTCCAAATCAGCTCATTCAACAAATGTAAGAGCGTGTTAGCCCTGATGTACAAGAAGTTGCGCAGAACTTGCTGATCCCTCTCTGCGCTAATGCTTACGAGAGTCATACCCTGGGATGCACAAATGGCCTGCGCCTGAAACCAGTTCACCTTGGCAAAGGTGGCTAAGGCGAATCTATCGTCGCGTACGGAAAACGGGGAGAAGCGTGGCTCCGGTACGGTGTCGTTGCCGGCTGTGTCATTGACCGGAACAGGTGCTGCCTCCTCCAGTGCGGCCGCACAGGTGTAGTGCAGAAAATAGAGCAGACAGAGGCTTATGGACATCATTCTGTAATGAAGTATTTGCAACTGCAGAGCCACGATTCTTAGACGCTTTTATAGGAGCTTCAACTAATTGCCACTCCCATTCATCAATGTCACTTGATAAGAGCGGAAATGGTATATCTCACTAAAGTACTTACTTTAAATTTGTTGCTTTTCGCCCACACACTAAATCTCAATTTAAGCGTTGCGCAAATCCGTTTGCCATTTTATGGCAAACTTTTTGCACTAATAATGTTATATCCAAGCGCGCCAGCCAGAATGCTTGTTGGGGGTGCCGCAAAATTTATCGAAAAAATGTAAAAGCATATCTCATTTAACTGTGCTGTCAGCTCGAAAGCAGCGCTGGCATTATGACGGGTCAAGGATTGGCAATTGCACACACTTCCAAATGGGGCTGCGCAACACCCTCTTGCAAGTTTTGCCAATACGACGCATTCGCATTCGCATTCCTGTTCCCATTCGCATTTCCTTGTCAGTTTCAGTTTATTTTTTTGTTCTGTTGGCCAAGTGTTTACGAGTCCATTGGGATTTTGGCTAGCGAAATGTGCAAGCACACAGATCGTTGCGTCTTTGTGCGTTTCTGGGAGGGTAGAAAATGACATGAAATCAAAAATTGCTGTTGAGCAACATTGCCAAGTGGCAAATGGCGTAAGCGTCGTATGCGTAATATGATTTCCATTTACGAGGGAAGCACTGTTCTTGCCTTTACCATGGAAGGTCAAATTAGGTAGCTTTCTTGTCTCCAAATTCTAAGTTTCAAAATATTCAAATTCTTTCTAATACCACGTGATAAGAACACATTGGGATCGGTTGGGCGTCGGTCCTGTGGCGCAATGGATAACGCGTCTGACTACGGATCAGAAGATTCCAGGTTCGACTCCTGGCAGGATCGCGACACTCCTATTTTTTTCAAGTGCCCATATAAAATATCTTAAAAATATTTTCTCTTGGAATGGAAAATGAGATCGACTTTTGTTAGATTTGTTAGATAATTTAAGTAAAAAATGAGCAAATTTAATAAAAAAGCAAACTCGCCCAACGTGGGGCTCGAACCCACGACCCTGAGATTAAGAGTCTCATGCTCTACCGACTGAGCTAGCCGGGCACATGTCTGCCCGATCGCCAAAGCACATCATTGGCTAGCATTAAACATCAAAACGAGCATCCCAGGCGATCATGATATTTATAATAAACAAGAATGAAATGCTAGTCGGGCGTGCTCAACTCTTAAACAGAATAAAATACATTTTATTATTAAATTAATAAAGTAAAAAATATAACACGACATAATAAATAGAGTAGTACAATATCGTGCCAATTTGAGTTGAGCCTCAGCAGCAACAACAACAGCACCAGCTGCCTACAGGGCATGGGCAGAGATTACACCTATGGCTTTAACTTCCTAATCAGTTGACCAATCATGAGAACACTTAAGCACTAACTAAATGTAATTTTCGAATTTGAGTAAAAAATGCCAAGAAATAAGAGAGGTATGGAAAATCACTAATAGCGGAGGAGTTGGTAAGACGAAATATAAATTTGTTTATCAGAATTTGAGAAATTGAGACGGACATTCCTATATCGCATAATCATAACAAGGTATATATGTATATACCTTTTGAGTACAGGGAAAAAAACGTTTATTTCAATATGCAACAACTTAAGAAATGCTTCAGAAAATGTTTCTTTAAGCAAAGTAATTTCGCGAGTGAAAATCAAAGCTATTGAACAATTTTGAAGTGGCAGAGCAAGCTTGTTGTTTGTGCTTCTGCTCATTGAACAGCCAACAAATTGAGCTCTTGGCCATGTTTAATGTCCGCAATTAGACTATAAAACTTGTTGACAAGATGACATGATCTATTAGCCGTGGGTATATCTGTCCTTTGGCTTAGGGGATGGTACTGCAGAAATTACAATTAAATTGTTTGCTGTGAGCTGAAAGCAAAGGACGACATCGATGTCGGCGGTGTGCGCCCACTGGCATCAAAAGTCACGCAGAATAAATTGGCGAGAGTCCGCTAGAGGCCAATGGCAGCCCCTACTTCTAAAGTGCTGGAGCGCAGCTAGTGCTGTTGATGCTGCAGCAACATAATTTATGCGCTTGGGGTGCCTGCAACAGTTTCGCAGCACGTAAAACGAAGGTCGTCGTTCAATTGCTGCTGAGCTATGAGCTTAGTTGTGTTTTATATTCTAGATAGAAATATTCAGTACACTATAACTAATCCATTTTTTTATGTCCCATGGAAGGACAATCTTATTAAAAACAAAGGTATTACATTTATTCCTTGGTAATAAAATTGTCTCAATTATCGAATCAGCTATTAGTTAGAGATTCCATAATGTGTACTTGTAAGACCTCAAAGAGCCATTCATTTCATGTATTACGATTTAAATATATAAACTAAGGACATATATTAAGGATAGCAAAAATAAATTGCTAGTGTTGAGCGATTCAATTCCTAAAAAGACTTTACTTTCTTACCCCAAAAGTTAATCGGGCACAACAATTTTATGAAAATTATGTAATAGGTTGGAGAAAGCATCTGCAGCTCCATAGAGTATGTACATATATTGTCCATATTCTAAATCACTATGACGGGACAAATTAATCTAGACTTTTACAAACGTCCGTCTGGCTCGATGAACGCCTGACCGCATTCACCAAAATTGTCATGTAGACTCTACTAGGCTCCAGGCAACACAAGTTTATTTTACGGAACAATTTTATTTAAAATTCCAAGATAAATTTGTGTTAAAATGCTAGAGTCAAGAGGGCTCAACTCTTCAATCTGATTGATTTCTAGTCTATGAAGCCCACGTGTTCACACGGACAGACAGACAGGCCTCGATGGACTCGTCGTGTCATGCTGATCATGCTGTTGTTGCTGATTTGGTTCAACATTGTGCTGCATGCATGCTCACACAGACACGAATAGACACGCATAGGCATGCATACACTCACATAGACACAATGTCAATGTCTAATTATTCACCCTTACCGTGAGTTCGAATACCAAAGGCAGCATTTTTTTTTCTTTTTATTTTCTTAATTTTTATAATTTCTATAATTCATCAGTATTTCAAAGTCGGGACACCCGACTTTTGTTTTTCTACTTGTTTTATTGATGGAAACAGTTTCAGTTATATCCAAAATCCAGCGTATAGAGCGAGTATGTCGTGAGAGTGCAAATTATACCCTGATCCATTGGCTGCGGAAGTATAGTATAAGTTTGTAGTATAAGAGGGAAGAAATTTTATTTCAGTTTTATACATTCGGATAGCCTTAGTTTTTTCCATAGCCCGGGGCATTGTCCAACAAGAAGAGCGCTTTAAAGTGAGATCTTTTTTGATATTTTTCAAATTTAATCGTGTACCAACGAGGTTTTTAGAGTGTTACAAGGGTTTACATTTCTAATTGAGATGGACCGAGTTCCCGATAAAATAGTGCGTGGTATGCGATCGATAGGTGTATACCCTTATGCTCTCTTACCAGTTGGGTCAAGGTAAAAAAGACCGTAATTAACAATTCTTCACTGCAAAATACATACCTATGTTTATGGTGCGTAAGTTTGTGTCCCCCAGAAGATAGAATGGTAGACCACACGGTATATTGGAATTTCCGATTCGGATCATTATATTATATAGCTACCACAGTTAAAGTGGACGATTATACAAATGATATTCTGTATGTTCCCAACGGGTGAAAGGATGTCTGGTCGTCTTGATAGAGGCCAGGATCTGAGAAAGTGTGGGAGCTAGAAATCCAATCATGGAGATGGACGCCTCGGTCGGTAAAATTGTCGCTTTTTCTCTTTCTGCAGCAGTTCAATATTGTTGATGAGAAAATAATTTCGCACACGTGCAATAATGCAATATGTTTGGGTATTTATTCGGTGGCTAGGTTTTAGTAGGTGAATAAATTATATTGGACAGATTAAACGTTGAACCACACAACTTAATGAGCTCCGAGCAACTATATAGTTCTCTTGTACGGCCGCCTATGGTCGTGCCTCTCGTGGTTTGTGGATTCCTCTGCTTTTTTAGGTCGTCCTGAAATCTCAGTTCCTTTCAGACCAACAAGAAATTGCTGGCCTCTTCACCTATATAAATAACTGTGCGTTACACAATCCATTTTGAATTACATGCTTCAGTTATAATGATCATATCCACCGAACTCTCTCTTCCCTCTTGAAAAGGAATCTCTGACCACAGACATGCCTAATTGCCCGCTTGCCGACTAGATAATCAATGTCACTCTACCGGGTCCGAGATTCCATTTTTTATTTCCTCTCTAGTAATTGGATTGGTTACTAATTAATTAAAAGTCTCCTTTCTGTGAGCACTATTTCATTTTTTTGTTGTAAATTGTGTGAATTGGGGCTTATCTGATCAGATGGTATATGGTATGGATAGTTTGAATACAATTATAGTATTTGTCTTGGATAGACCTAAATTGGATTAACTTCCTCTACACAATTTCGAAGCATGCTTATTTGGAAATTTGAAAGGTACAGGACAAAAGGAAGTTATTGTTATCTTACACATCTTACACCGGAAATAAAAACAATATTTGCTCCGCAATTTGTGGACCAGCGGGCGGTTTTAAAGAAGGACATGATAGAGCTATCACATGTTTGAGATTCAAATTTGCCTACAATTAAAGCTCTAGTGTACGTGGATATTGTTTGGTTTCAAAGCTTTATTAAAAATACACACTAAATGATTTAATTTGGATATTTTATTTGGGAAATTTCCATTTATTTTCTTCACAGCTTTCCATATGTGGGTTTTGTGAAGATGACCAAGCTGCTTCGAAAACGTCGGCTGACAACTAGAGACATTGCTGATACTGTTGGCGTTTCTAATGACTCAGTCAACACCATTGTTATTAAATATTTTTGTCATTTTTATAGGCTTTTTTATTAATTTAGTTTTATTTAGCTTAAGTTCATTGATTTTCTTACATCGACAGAATTGTTTGTCTATGAAATAAATAAACTGTA